GTCTCCTCCGTGGACTACAACCCTCGTGACAACCAGCTCTACGTCTGGAACAACTATTTCGTGGTGCGCTACAGCTTGGAGTTCGGGCCGCCCGACCCCAGTGCCGGTAGGGATGACTCCCCCTTGCTCCGCCTCCTCGGCCCCGGGGGTCGGGGGGGGGGGGAGCCCGCAGTGCGCGGAGAGCTGGGATCTGGAGGTGGTCCACGGGGATCCCTGGAGGTCAGAGTCGCAGAGTCGCGCAGCACGGGCCAGAGGTTGGTCTAAGCGGTTCCCAGTTAACCCGTTCGGTTGTCAGTTTATGAGGTAGGAAGGGCTATTACCGTTTTACAGATGAAGAAACAGGCACTGGGAGGGTGGGGGGTGGGGTAGTTTACTCCTTTGAGGAGTAACTCTGGACCACGAAGTTGCACCGCCTCTCCCAGGGGCCTGTGCACTTTTAGCCCTGGAACCCTCATCAGCCACAACCCTGGGTGGAAGCCCCGTGCCCGTGAAAACAGAACAAAGCCCAGCTGCCAGCATTGAGGGTGAGGGTCCCTCTGCAGTCTCTGTTCGCCCTCTCAGCGGCCCTCAGCCAGCTCTGAGCAGCCCCAGGGCGCTGGGGTGCCTGATGCAGTACAGCCTCATTTGCATAACCGGGAACTAAGGCCCGCACAGGAAAGGGACTTGGCCAGAGTGAGAGTAGAATGAGGACGGGAGGTGGCTGTGTTCAGACATCCCCTCCCTGGCCCATTCTCTTTGGTTACTCTCGGACCTCAGGCTATACTCAAGTGAATTTCTACTGCCTTCTGATGCTTTACATGGTCTTGGGGGCAGAGAGAGGCCAGGGGAGATCTTCCAGACCCAGGATATCCTCCCACTTTGGGGAAGGTGCTAGAATGCCAGGGACCCCATGCCTGGGCACACGTGTCATGGCGGGGCCCCGGGCACGGGGTGACCCTGTCTTGTATACCCTCTTCCCTTCCAGGCCCAGCCACCTCCCCACCTCTCAGCACGACCACCACAGCCCGACCCACACCCCTCACCAGCACGGCCTCGCCCGCAGCCACCACCCCACTCCGCCGAGTGCCCCTCACCACACACCCCGTGGGTGCCATCAACCAGCTGGGACCTGACCTGCCTCCAGCCACAGCCCCGGCTCCCAGCACCCGGCGGCCCCCAGCTCCCAATCTGCATGTGTCCCCAGAGCTCTTCTGTGAACCTCGAGAGGTGCGGCGGGTCCAATGGCCAGCCACCCAGCAGGGCATGCTGGTTGAGAGGCCCTGCCCCAAGGGGACCCGCGGTGAGTACAGAGGCTGCAGTCACCTCACGGGCGCTGGCTTGGGGAGGGGCCGAACCTGGTCTGGCCCGGGAAGGGCCAGGGAACATCCCACCTCTCAGCTTAGCCCAGATGCACCTGTTCACCTCCCCGGCCAGAGTGCGGGCTTTCTGAGGGCAGGGGTCGCCTGACACCTGCAGCTGTGTTCCCAGTGCCCAGCAGAGCTCTCAGAGCTTGGGAGCAGCTCAGTGAGTCCCCCTGCCCTGTCCCCTCTTGCAGTGCCAGGCAGACCATGAAGGGAGCCCACAGGAGGTGACTTGGGCCCCTGGCTTCAGGCTGAGACTGCCAGTGGCAGTCCGCAGAGCCGCTGAAGTGCCAGACAGGGTGGGGCCGGGAGCATATGCTCCTAAGTGGAGTGATCCAAGGGCAGGGTCTGAAGAGGCATAAGGGAGAAGGGGCTTCCAAGATGGACTTTGCTAGAAAGTTCCATTTCTGGTAGGCAAAGATGGAAGGAAGAGGAGCCGAGAGGGGGAGCTTAGAAGTAAGGGGTAGCTTATGTCACCTCCGAGTGACACCTCTCTTGACTGTCCGGCCCTCTTCATGTCTGGTCTTCCGTGTTTCCTTCACCTCTCTCCACCTACCTGTCCCCCTCTCCGTCATCTCCTCTCCCTGCCGTGGCCCCTCTTTCTCTCCTTCCCTGTGGCTCCCTTCTCTGTTCCTGTCTGTCTGTCCCTGCAGGAATTGCCTCCTTCCAGTGTCTACCAGCCCTGGGGCTCTGGAACCCCCGGGGCCCTGACCTCAGCAACTGCACCTCCCCCTGGGTCAACCAGGTGGCCCAGAAGGTACCAGCAGCAGCTGTCCCTCCCAGATCGGCACATTTGCTCGCACACTGGGCCCTGGGTGGCCGGGCACAGGGCACACTGGGGGCAGTAGAGCAATTGGGGAGACAAACGGGCAGGTCTGGGAGCCAGGACTGTGTGGGTCCCCTCCCTGGCCTACAGAGGGAAGAGACGGATGGGGAGGGGGAAGGGGTCAGGGAGGGAGGGGGGAGAGGGGCCAAGCAGGCTCGGCAGGTGAAAAGGGAACATGTGGGAAGCAAGATGGTCTCTGAGAGAGTTCGGGGCCCCTGCCCCCACCTCACACAGATCAAGAGTGGGGAGAATGCAGCCAACATTGCCAGCGAGCTGGCCCGTCACACCCGAGGCTCCATCTATGCGGGTGATGTGTCCTCCTCCGTGAAGCTGATGGAGCAGCTGCTGGATATTCTAGATGCCCAGTTACAGGCCTTGCGGCCCATTGAGCGCGAGTCAGCGGGCAAGAACTACAACAAGGTGGGGCACGGCACTGGGGCCAGCTGGGGGGAGGGGACCCTTAGGGCTCAAGTAGAGTCCAGCCTGGTACCTCCAAGCTAGGTGGTCAGAGAGGAGAGGACTGATCCTAGGCATACTGGATCTTCCTCCTCAGCTGCCCCTGGACGGGCCTTAGGGTTGAGGGTCCCTTAGGATCGGGTCTTGCTCACGCCCAGCCCTGGGTTGGTGGCAGCTGCGGAAGCGCCAGCTCTCCAGGGCCCAGACATGTTGGCATTAGGAAAGCTGACAGCACCTCCATCTCCTTTCCCAGATGCACAAGCGGGAGAGAACTTGCAAAGACTACATCAAGGTGAGGCCCGGAGGGTTCCTGCCGGCCAAGGAGGGGGTGAGGCAGCCCTCATCACGTGGGCATGCCCCACGCAACACTGGGGATGGAGGCTGAGAAGAGGGTATGCAGAGTCAGAGTCCAGCCCAGGGAACTGGAGGCGGCGGGGGGGGGCACTCACAGTGCCACCCCCTCGCCTGCGTAGGCCGTGGTGGAGACAGTGGACAACCTGCTGCGGCCAGAGGCTCTGGAGTCCTGGAAAGACATGAATGCCACGGAGCAGGTGCACACAGCCACCATGCTCTTGGATGTGCTGGAGGAGGGTGCCTTCCTGCTGGCCGACAACGTCAGGGAGCCCGCCCGCTTCCTGGCTGCCAAACAGAACGTGGGTGAGTGCCGCAGTTGTGCCTACGGCAAGTTCGGGTGCAAATCTTTTTTTTTTTTTCCCAAGATTTTATTTGAGAGAGTGAGCAATCATGCGCATGAGTGGGGGGAAAGGGAGAGAATCTCAAGCAGAGTCCATGCTGAGCGTGGAGCCCAATGCAGGGCTCAATCTCACAACCCTGAGATCATGATCAGGTGCAAATCTTGAACCGTGGGGCCTGCCAGCTGGGGATGCCCTAGCCTTGGGCCTCTTGCCATAGCTGGGCCCCTGGACTGGGGACAGACCCCAACCACATCTGCCCTGCCATTCCCTGTCCCCACAGTCCTGGAGGTGACAGTCCTAAACACGGAGGGCCAAGTGCAGGAGCTGGTGTTCCCCCAGGAATACCCAAGTGAGAACTCCATCCAGCTGTCCGCCAATACCATCAAGCAGAACAGCCGCAACGGTCAGTGCCCAAGCCCTGGGCTGGCATCCCCAGTTCACATATGAAGAACGTCAGTTCTTAAACTGTATTGGGTTGAAGAATCTGAGAAAAGGGTGGGACTCATAACCACACACACAGTTGTTCTCCATTCAAGCAAGCCTAACATTACAGGGGATTTGTGGGGTCCCCCCAAAGCCCCAGAGCATAGGACACTTTGTAGTTTGCAGGGCTCACTCCTGTGCAGTGGCAGTCAGTTCTCATAGCTCAGGGAGGTCTGTCCCGTTTGAAAGTAAGGCTCAGAGGTTGGGATTTGCTCGAGGTCACACAAGTGAGGTGGGGGCTGGGGACACAGTCCCTACGCGTCCTGGCATATTGCCTCGCCATTTGGAACTGCCTACAACAGAGCAATGGTACGTGGAAGGGCTCCCAAACCCCCCTCACCTGGGCCACAGCCTGGCTTCAGAGGTCCCAGTGGCCAGGATGGCTGAAGGGGTGCCGGCTCAGGACTGCCGGCACACCCCGCGGTGCCTGTTCTCCCCAGGTGTGGTCAAAGTTGTCTTCATCCTCTACAACAACCTGGGCCTCTTCTTGTCCACCGAGAATGCCACAGTGAAGCTGGCGGGTGAAGCAGGTACAGGTGGCCCTGGCGGCGCCTCCCTGGTGGTGAACTCACAGGTCATCGCGGCGTCCATCAACAAGGAGTCCAGTCGTGTTTTTCTCATGGATCCTGTCATCTTCACCGTGGCCCACCTGGAGGTGAGCTGAGGCGTCCCCACCCCCCCCCCGGGGGTCCCGCCAGCGTCCATGTCCCCAGGCTGTATATTCTCCCCATTGTGTGTTCACCCACCCCAAGAGCAAGTTGCAACCCCTCCCTGGGGCACCAGTCCCCCAACCCCCACCTCACCAGCTTGGGCCATTTGCCCCCAGAGATCCCAGACTGTCACCTGGAGCCCCAGGCATTTTTCTCATGCCTGTCACCATCCCCATAGCTGGGTGTGGGGGCTGGGACGGGACTCCCTGGATCTGACTGCCCGGCCACCACCACACAACAGGCCAAGAACCACTTCAATGCTAACTGCTCCTTCTGGAACTACTCGGAGCGTTCCATGCTGGGCTACTGGTCAACCCAGGGCTGCCGCCTGGTGGAGTCCAACAAGACCCATACCACGTGTGCCTGCAGCCACCTCACCAACTTTGCCGTGCTAATGGCTCACCGAGAGATCGTAAGCTGGCCAGCGCTCCGCTCCTCTGGGCAGGCCCACTTGCTGGCCTGGCTTTGCATGGCATCCTAGAGAGCGCTGCATGGGCAGTGCCAGGGAAGACCAGCTTCGTGGGCATTGGGGGGGTGGCACCAGTCTTGCCCGGGGCAGGAGGCCACATGTCTGGTTCTTTCTGGTCATGGTCCCACCTTCTCCCAGGGCACTCTGGAGAAGCAAGTTGGCGTCACCTTTGTCATCTCTCCACAAGCCTCCCAGAGCATGAGGAAAGAGCGTGCCACCTACAGAAGGGTGGGGGCCAGCAAGTTGGCTAGGGGGCAGCACCAGTGGTGTTCGTGGCCTGTGGCCTTGCCCGCCACTAGCACCTGGCTGAGCCCAGGATGAACCTGGCCACGTACAAGGCCAGAGGTGCTGAGTGAGTCCCCTGCTCCTGTCCCCCAGTACCAGGGCCGCATCAATGAGCTGCTGCTGTCAGTCATCACCTGGGTGGGCATCGTGATCTCCCTCGTCTGCCTGGCCATCTGCATCTCTACCTTCTGCTTCTTGCGGGGGCTGCAGACTGACCGCAACACCATCCACAAGAACCTGTGCATCAACCTCTTTCTGGCCGAGCTGCTCTTCCTGGTCGGGATAGACAAGACTCAGTATGAGGTGGGCCAGGGTTTAGGGGCAGAGGCAGGTGGGAGGGGAGGCAGCGCTGGCCCAGGTAGCCCCTCCTCACCTGTGGTGCCCCTCTCTGCCACCCCCAGATCGCTTGCCCCATCTTTGCTGGCTTGCTGCACTACTTTTTCCTGGCCGCCTTCTCCTGGCTGTGCCTGGAGGGTGTGCACCTCTACCTGCTGCTGGTGGAAGTGTTTGAGAGCGAGTACTCACGCACCAAGTACTACTACGTGGGCGGCTACTGCTTCCCGGCCCTGGTAGTCGGTATCGCGGCGGCCATCGACTACCGCAGCTATGGCACCGAGAAGGCGTGAGTGTCCCCCCTCTCATCCCCCGGGGTGTCTCCTGCCTGGCTCCCCGCTCAGCAGAATCCCTTGGGCCAGGACCCTCAGAGCAGTGGCCTTCCTGCTCCCGAGGTCTAAGGCCACAGTCTGCAGAGTCCCTGGGGGCTAGGATGGGAGGGAAGGGCTTTCCCGCCTCTGTCTACCCCAGCCCCGCTTCCTTTATAGCTGCTGGCTCCGAGTGGACAATTACTTCATCTGGAGCTTCATTGGACCGGTCTCTTTTGTTATCGTGGTAAGTGGGAAGGCGGTACTACGTCTCCTTCACGCGAGCTAGTCTTGACCCCTGAGCCCCGCCCCCACTCTCCCCAAGTCCTGAGAGGGCTGGTTTGAAAACCATCAAAACTGAGCAGCCCACTAAGAGGACAAGAACAGAGCGGGTCTGTAAAGCTCCAGCACCAAGGCCCGTCCGTCCAGGAACTGTGATTTGAGCCCCTGCCTTGTGTCAGGCTGTGTGCTCTGCCCTCCCACCACCAGGAGCCACATTAACAGACCGCTGTTACCAGTCAGCAGGCACCTGAGGGCAGGTACATCAGCAGAGGAGGCCCTGAAGAAGGGGGCGTTGAGGCTGAGACTTGGGCAGGGGTTTGCACTGGGAGGTGGGGGGACCCCCAAGGGACCCCCCCCAGCCTAGCCCCTCCCCTCCTCCCACCCCCAGGTGAACCTGGTGTTCCTCATGGTGACCCTGCACAAGATGATCCGGAGCTCATCTGTGCTCAAGCCCGACTCCAGTCGCCTGGACAACATTAAGTGAGCACCCCTTCCCCACCCCCCTTGCCCCTCATAGCTCCGTACCAGGCCTGGTCTCTCCCAGGGCTTCCCAAAACGTGGGGTGCTCACCTTCAGTACCACAAGATGTGATTTTAAGGACAAACGTAGTATTTTATTGTGCTTGTTGTGTATCTACTTAACAAGTATTAAAAAACATGGTATTAACACATCCAATCTCTGCTTTTGGGGACATAACTTATTAGGGTGAGGCCAAGTCTAATTCAGGGCAACTTAAAGAGAAACTGGCAGCATAAGATAGTTTCAGGGTCTGGAAATGTGGCCTAAGGCTGAAAGCAAATGACTGACCTTTGTAAAAGCCCACACCCAGGCTGAGTGAAAGTACCACTGTGTAGGCAATTCCCCCCCACCCCAAAAGGCCTACTCACCCCAGGTGGGTCTTTGCAGATAGCATCCAGACCCACCTGAAGAGGGACACACAGCAGAGCGGGGAGGTTTCTCCATTGGCAAGGACTTTGACATCCCTGTCCCCTCCTCCTCCCCAGATCCTGGGCCCTGGGGGCCATCGCGCTGCTCTTCCTGCTGGGCCTCACCTGGGCGTTCGGCCTGCTTTTCATCAATAAGGAGTCAGTGGTCATGGCCTATCTCTTCACCACTTTCAACGCCTTCCAGGGGGTCTTCATCTTTGTCTTTCACTGCGCTTTACAAAAGAAGGTGAGGTCAGAGAAGGGGTTCAAATGTCTGCCTTCTGTACTGGGACCTGTGTCTGCTGTGAGGGGAGCACGGGCTTGGGGTCAGTGAGGATTTAGACAGGGGTGAAGCGGGTTCTGGAACAGAACAAGATAGGGCAAGCTGGGGGAGCAAGAGAGGATGGATTTGGGGAGTTGGGAGAGCACAGGGTAGGGTTGTGGTAACAGAGGACCAACCCCCCACCCACCCACCTATGATGTGGGGGCAGGAATCAGGTGTGTGGGAGGGAGAGGACTGAGTACCACCCAGACGGAAGTTTTCTACTTCAATATTTACAAGATAAACTGGTAAGTTTCGTGGTGATAAAGTTTCTTTTCCAACATCCTTACAGGAGCCCCCAGGCTCACACATTCCTGCCCAGGCCTCCCTTCCCTTCTTCCCCTCCAGCCATCCTCTCCTCTGCTTTCTCTCAAACACCTAGACAGGGGCGCCTGGGTGGCTCAGTCTGTTAAGCGTCTGCCTTGGGCTCAGGTCATGATCCTGGGGTCCTGGGATCGAGTCCCGCTTCAGCTCCTTGCTCAGTGGGGGGCCTGCTTCTCCCTCTCCCTGCTGCTCTCCCTGCTTGTGCACATGCGCTCTCTCTGATAAAATCTTAAAAAAAAACCCACCTAGACAGGACCCTCCTCAGGAATTATTCCTGTTCTTCCCCAGATATCCGTAAGGCCTGCGGTCCTAGTTCCTTCAGATCTTTGCTGGGATGTTTCCTCAGGGAGACTTCCCCTGGGCTATTAGAACTCACAAACCCCCACCACATCCCCCAACCCACCGGCACTGCCTGACCCCCTTCCTGGCCGTATTGGTCTGCACAGCACCCAGCAGCATCAGACATCCTACACGGTGTGCTGTTGTTTGCATCTACATATGTCTCTACCAAAATTTAGCTCTTGGAGGTAGGGCTGTGTGAGTGATTTGTTCTGTACCGTCGTTCCTGGGGCCTGAACTATGCCTGGAACGTAGCAGATGCTCATTAAAGATCTGTTGAGAGAGTGAATGAGAAACTCAGTGGATGTAGAGAAAGGAGGATGGCCTGAACAGGGGGAGCGCCTGGCTGGCTGGCTGGCTGGCTGGCTGGCTGGCTGTCAGGAACAGGAGACAAGGCTTCTGAGGCTTGCAGGGGCACCCAATGCCAGCTGCATGTCCTCCTCCTCCCCCAGGTGCACAAGGAGTACAGCAAGTGCCTGCGTCACTCCTACTGCTGCATCCGCTCCCCACCTGGGGGCGCTCATGGCTCACTCAAGACCTCAGCCATGCGGAGCAACACCCGCTACTACACGGGGACGCAGGTATCCTGGCAGGGCTCCCCGGGGCTGAGTAGGCAGGGTAGCACTTAGCCCAGGTCCCTAGTGGTGCTCAGCAGGCGGGTGGCCTCAGAAAGATCCTGGAGGGTGGGTATCCTGGGGGTGGGGGGCTCACATCCGGGCGGTATCTCCAGAGCCGAATCCGGAGGATGTGGAACGACACCGTGAGGAAACAGACGGAGTCCTCCTTCATGGCAGGCGACATCAACAGCACCCCCACCCTGAACCGAGGTGAGACCGCGTCCCTTGCCCTTGGCTCTATCCCTCAAGATTCCCGGACCAGTGGCTCTGGGCCACCTTGTGACCTCTAATGTTCTGGATAGGTACCATGGGGAACCACCTGCTGACCAACCCTGTGCTGCAGCCCCGTGGGGGCACCAGCCCCTACAACACCCTCATTGCTGAGTCGGTGGGCTTCAATCCCTCCTCACCCCCTGTCTTCAACTCCCCAGGTGAGAGCACTCTGGTACGGGAAGAGGGTGACAGTCCCGGTCAGGGAGTGTGGTGGGGTCTGCATCCCGAGGGTCGCTGCTTGGGGCATCCTAGTGCTTCCTGAATTGGAGCTTGGACTTGACTTTCCAAGCACATGCTCACCTCATCTCTTTTCCCTCCTGGCTGGCACCTACAGGGAGCTACCGGGAACCCAGTAAGTGTGACTTGCCTGGTAACGTTTCTGAGGCCGGGAGGGGGATGCGATAGTGGCCTCCTGGGATAACCTCACTCAGGGAGGAGAACTCGGGTACCCCACCCCCAGACGCCACACACATACAGTTGGAGGGGGTTATGTTTGGCCTTCAGGTAGGCAATGAAGGTGATGATGGTCCGAGCACAGGAAATGCAACTGGTCACTAGGCCTCTTCACACTGCTGAGATTCTGAGCCTCCAGCTGGGAGGAGACCTAGAGGGAGCTGGTCCCCACCCCCATTCCCCCAACGTGCTGCTGGGCTGGTGTCCCCACTACGAGTGAGGAAGAATGGGAATAGGAGATCCCAGCCCCCAGGGAAGCAGGCACCCCCTCTCCCATGTGCCCACACCTGTCACTGCCCACACTCCTCCTGAGCTGGCCCCCTTTTGCTGGCAGAGCACCCTCTGGGAGGCCGGGAAGCCTGCGGCATGGACACACTGCCCCTCAACGGCAACTTCAACAACAGTTACTCCTTGCGAAGCGGGGATTTCCCGCCAGGGGACGGGGCCTCTGAGCCACCCCGAGGCCGGAACCTGGCCGATGCTGCTGCCTTCGAGAAGATGATCATCTCAGAGCTGGTACACAACAACCTGCGGGGCAGCAGCAGCGGGGCCAAGGGCCCCCCACCACCTGAACCCCCCGTGCCACCTGTGCCAGGGGGTGGTGGCGAGGAAGAAGCAGGCGGGCCCGGGGGCGCTGACCGGGCAGAGATCGAACTTCTCTACAAGGCCCTGGAGGAGCCGCTGCTGCTGCCCCGGGCCCAGTCGGTGCTGTACCAGAGCGATCTGGATGAGTCGGAGAGCTGCACTGCGGAGGATGGGGCCACCAGCCGGCCCCTATCCTCCCCTCCAGGCCGGGACTCACTCTACGCCAGCGGGGCCAACCTGCGGGACTCGCCCTCCTACCCGGACAGCAGCCCCGAGGGGCCCAGTGAGGCCCTGCCCCCACCCCCGCCTGCACCCCCCGGCCCCCCTGAAATCTACTACACCTCGCGCCCACCGGCCCTGGTGGCCCGGAACCCCCTGCAGGGCTACTACCAGGTGCGGCGGCCCAGCCATGAGGGCTACCTGGCAGCCCCGGGCCTCGAGGGGCCAGGGCCCGATGGGGATGGGCAGATGCAGCTGGTCACCAGTCTCTGAGGGACCTCATGGACCAGGGGCTGGTGGCCCAGGACGGGAAGGGAACCCTGGGTGGGGCTCTGATGGGAGAGGGAGACTCATGGAGGCAGTGGCTGGTGGGCCACTCTCTCCAGGTGCCCTTCAGCCGTGGGCCCTCTAGGCCCCTCAGGAGCTCTGCCGTGGGGGCCTGTGGTGCAGGGTTCACAGACAGGGTTTCCTACCAGCCATGCGCACCAGCTCGATTTGGGGGAAGTGCGGTAAGGAGGAGCCAAGAGGTCCCCAAGGGAGTAAGGAAGGAGAAATTGGATGGGTGCAACCCACTCTTGACTTCCCCCCTCCCCTACCTTCCTGCCCCCCTGGAGGGAAATGAGGGCTTTGGTTTTCCTGGGCCCCACTGGAAGGAACCTGTCAGCTACTCCTCTCTGCAGCCAGAAATGGTGCACCAGGAAGGAGCAGTGGGAGCAGACAGACAGACAGGTTCCTCCTGCACTACATTTCCCTACTCCTGGAGACTGGGGCCTCTGGCCCGAGAGAAAGCCCCAGGGCAAGTGGAATGGGCGATTGTGGCTGCTGGTTTAAAGGTGGAACTTTCTCTGAAGCTCCTTCCCTCTGCTCTTTGTCCTTGCCTCCCCAGCAAGCCTGCCCATCAGTCTCCTCAAGTGCACCCAGTGACCCCCTCCCTTGGGGTGACTCCTGATGAAGCACAACTCCCCGCAGGGCCCCCAGCCCACAGGGGTGGCCATATTTGGGCAGTTCCCAGTCCTGTGGGCTAGGCTATCTGGGGAGCAGATTTTGGGTCTGGATCTCCCTGGGGAGTGGGTCCTGGGCTTGGATCTTTCCCTAGGGGGCCATCTTACCCCTTCCTCTCTCCTCCCCCATTGCTGTAAATATTTCAACAAAATGGAAAAGAAAAAAAAAAAAAAAAAAAAAAAAAAAAGAAAATCTCATCACTTGAAGCCACCGGGAGCCTGTGGCCCAGCCAGCCCGGGGCTTTCTCCGGAGCAGAGTGGCGCCACCGGGCCCTGGCAGCCAGGACTTCTCCGTGTATGTGTGCATCCCCAGCCGGGGTGGGCGGGCCGCCAGAGCAGCTTTTTACAATCCAGAGACAGAAAACAAAATCTAGAAGCAACAGCGAAACAAAGAACCTGTTTCCTTCCCGGCACCGTTTCTGTCGCCTCTTTCCCTGCTCCGCCTGTTCCCTGGCATCAGTCAGCCCTCCTGGGGCGTGTACCTCACTGCCTGCCCCAGGACTGGGGCCTGTCTCCCCCTCCCCTCCCCACGGGCCCAGGGGAGGCACCCTCACACCCAAAGATGCTTTTGCCAAGATGGCTGCGCTGTCCCTTTGAGTTCCTGCTTCTTGTATATTGCTTCTGGGACTCTGGGCTGAGGAGGAAGGGACTGACTTCCCACCTAGAGCGGGTGATGGGGGAAGAAAAGTGAAGGCAGCAGGTGGTGGGCGTGAAAGGGAGGCTGGGAGTGATGAAGTTGTCTTCTCTCTTGGGGGGAGGGGGGCTGCAAAGGTGAGAGATCATCTTCCCTACCCTACACCCTCCTGCAGGGGAGGCAAAGCCAGGTATCAGGGCCTGCAGTCAGGACACCCTTATACCAGGCGCTCTACCCCAAACCTTAGACTCCGGAAGCTCTGGGCTGGGGATGTCTCCTGAGTACCTCTTCCAGTGCCCTCTTCTCCAGCCGTTCACCCTGGCCTTCCCACCCCGCCCCCCCAACCCTTTGAGTAGGGTAGTCCCATTGCCACAGTAGCCCAGCCCTGTCATTGCCATTCTCCCAGGGGTGGCCCTCCACCTCTACTCTGACCCCTTCTTGTCTCTTTTGCCCCTCCCTCTTTTCT